AGTGAAGGACCCCACTCCAGGGACCCCGAAAAACTCTTGTGGGGGCCCCTGCGGAGCCCGGGGCCTGGGGCAAATTGCCCCACTTGACCCCCCCTCTGGACAGCCCTGGAGTAGGGCACTTCTCAGCATGACTAAGGGTGGCAAAATCAGGTCCACAATAAATCATGGACCATATTCTGTGCTGACTTCAGTGGGATTACATGAAGCATAAATCAATTAAGAGTTTTAATTGCTTTTAATTAAGTGGAATGTATTTCAAGTAGTTCTGATTTAAACAGGATCTATGTGTTAGCACCGCCAACCTATCTCAGGATTCAGCACTTAATGCTTGCATAAAAAAAGAGCAATTTGCAAAGGATAAAATGCAAGTAGATTTGGGGGGAAATTACCCTAATTAGTTGCAAAGCTGCCTGTAGTCTAGCCCGGTCCTGGATCGTCTGGGCCTGACTTGGCTGTAATCGTGATTTGAAGAATCTCGAGCTCCAAGTCCCACTCATCCAAGGCAGTCGAGCTTTGAATAATTCCTCTGAAAAACAAGTATCACCAGACCCTACTGTTTAATCCCATGTGTTTCCACTGATGGGTAAGTACACACTAACGGAGTAACAATGTTGTAACTAGGGAAATAATCCATATGAAAATTAGCATGTTAGTTTTACATGGCAGTCTTTAGATTTTATCTAAACTGAGCATCCTGCCTGAAAAGTCCTCCTCATTTTTGGCGAGGAATTGGTCATTCTACTAAAATGAAGTTGTCTTATATTAATACCTGAAATGAAAGTAGTGTTGACAACCTGAATAGTTTAAAAAAATGAGTTCAGTTTAAAAAAATCATACGAATGTTTTAACAGTCATGAGATTAAAAAAAGGGGACTATTATCATTTGTCTTCTGATTTTTGAGGACTTGGGATTCATATTTTCAAGTTTTTTCTCTCTAATCAGAAAGACTAGAAGCCTGCTATTTAAAAAAGGAAAACTGATATTCTCACATAATCACATGACTCCAGGTGCTGCGGTTTAGGAAAAATTTCAAATATGAGACTTGAAAGAAAACTTGGGGACTTGACAGCACTGAAGGTGTGGTCTCCATGAAAACTATATGAAAAGTGACATCCTTTCAAACGAATATTCATGAAGAGGGGAATCCATATTGGCTGAATAAAAATTCACAATCTATATCTAATATCCATTTTGAAGCACTGAGAGGAGAGGAAGGTGATCCCGAACAGTCAACTCATGCCTGACCAACCTGATTGCCTTCTATGATGAGATGACTGGCTCTGTGGATATAGGGAAAGTGGTGATGTGATATATCTTAACTTTAGCAAAGCTTTTGATATGGTCTCCCACAGTATTCTTGACAGCAAGTTAAAGAAGTATGGATTGGATGAATGGACTATAAGGTGCATAGAAAGCTGGCTATATTCTCAGCTCAACAGGTAGTGATCAACTGCTTGATATCTAGTTGGCAGCCAGTATCAAGCGGAGTGCCCCAGGGGTCAGTCCTGGGGCCAGTTTTCTTCAACATCTTCATTAATGATCTGGATGATGGGATGGATTGCACCCTCAGCAAGTTCGTGGATGACACTAAGCTGGGGGGAAAGGTAGATATGCTGGAGGATAGGGATAGGTTCCAGAGTGACCTAGACAAATTGGAGGATTGGGCCAAAAGAAATCTGATGAGGTTCAACAAGGACAAGTGCAGAGTCCTGCACTTAGGACGGAAGAATCCCATGCACCGCTACAGGCTGGGGACCGACTGGTTAAGCAGCAGTTCTGCAGAAAAGGACCTGGGGATTACAGTGGACGAGAAGCTGGATATGAGTCAGCAATGTGCTCTTGTTAGCCCAGAAGGCCAACGGCATATTGGGCTGTATTAGTAGGAGCATTGCCAGCAGACCAAGGGAAGTGATTATTCCCCTCTATTCGCCACTGGTGAGGCCACAACTGGAGTATTGACTCCAGTTCCCCCCCCCCCCCACGAAGGGATGTGGACTAATTGGAGAGAGTCCAGTGGAGGGCAATGAAAATGATTAGGGGGGTGAGGCACATGACTTACGAGGAGAGGCTGAGGGAACTGGGGTTATTTAGTCTGCAGAAGAGAAGAGTGAGAGGGGATTTGATAGCAGCCTTCAACTACCTGAAGGGGGGTTCCAAAGAGGATGGAGTTAGGATGTTCTCAGTGGTGGCAGATGACAGAACAAGGAACAATGGTCTCAAATTGCAGTGGGGGAGGTCTAGGTTGGATATTAGGAAACACTGTTTCACTAGGAGGGTGGTGAAGCACTGGAATGAGTTATGTAGGGAGGTGGTAGAATCTCCATCATTAGAGGTTTTTAAGGCCCGGCTTGACAAAACCCTGGCTGGGATGATTTAGTTGGTGTTGGTCCTGCTCTGAGCAGGGGGTTGGACTAGATGACCTCCTGAGGTCCCTTCCAACCCTAATATTCTATGATTCTATGATTAATATAAAATACCCTGATTATTATACTTGTAGACAAAAATCTCAATATGCTGAGCACTATTTAATAAAAGTCTGATATATCATAAAATTCCATGGAAATATTTGTTAGTCTTAGGTTTTGTTTAAATAATTTTATACAAAACCTACATTTTGATCTAAACTTGACTAAAGATTCCTTTAATGCATTGCCTGTATTTGTAGCTATAATTAAAATTTCTACAGGACATCCTGGTACTGGGTCTTTTCCTTTCAAACCTTCATTTTCCCAAATTGGAAAGCAATATGTGCCAGACTGGAAAGAAATTAAGTCCGCAACCACACACTGACATTTTGAGGTTTCTATTATTTCCACAGTTGAGATGTATTAGAAACCCTACTGGACACTATTAAGCCTGAACATTTTTATCCCTTTCCTACAGGCATATCAAATATGACTAAACAATCATAGAGAAGAAACAAAATCTATCGTTATAGTTACCATTTTCAGCTCTTACCCTTTTGATATTAAAAATTAATTTAAAAAAAATCTGCAAAGATAAGTTTTCCTAAAGAAAAGGTCTTTGACTACTTGAATACTTTAGGCTGCTTTATCACTTTCAGAAGACAGTGTATGTTAATTTAACATTAATCTCAGAAGAAAGAGATCATTATTTTAATTCTACTGACTCTTGTGTAATGCTAATCTCTCCCGAATAATTTTTCGTAGCCATTTTTCTCTTAGCCTTTCTTCCTGCTCCTCATTTTCAGCTTTTGGTTCATTGAGGGTCCCATAGATTTCAGTGGCTTCTCTTGGGGTGAAGTAATCTAAGCTGGAGGCACAGGCAATATAATGTCGTTTCCAAGCACTGTATTCGTTGTCTGCTGGAGTGTAGGGCAGGAACCATCCAAACTTAACACATTTTGGCACCCACAAACAGTCCTTAAGACAAGAAAGAGGTAAAAGAGAGACAAACTGTGATTGAGGACAAAAAGCTTTCTATTTAATCTTGGGGTTTCATACTGCCACTGATCACAGTATAAATCAAACATGGGACCTCCATAAATATGTTACAGTGAGATATCCTTTTTTATGAAGTGCCTAGTACTTTTACAGAACAAATAAAAATACATGATCCCTCTGTCTCAAAAAGCTTGCTGCAACATTTTCTTATATGCAGAGGCCAGCAGTGTTCTTGAAGATGAATAATCAGATAATGCCAATGAATTCAATTGAGAGAGGTGCATTTGTTTTTGTTCTGGTTTTTTTTTTAAAGGGGTGTTTTATTTTAAAATTCTTCATTATCTGGAAATCTGCAAATAAAGGCATTATCTTGTCCCCTTGATTGTCATATTTGGCACTGGGGAACAGAAAGAGTAGGCTAATTGTTGTACCACTTTGAGCAGCTTCTGAAGATCAATATTTATTTTATTTTAATTTCTATAAATAGTATTGAGCCTATGCTATACACTATCTATTTAGACAGATCATAATAAGCAGTAGCATTTTGGAATATCCACAATGCCAAGCCCTGGCATTATCTGTATCCATAAGGCCACAGCAATCTCTATAAATTACAGAGTTTAGGACATCCAGCTAACTACATAGCTCTAAATTACATATTGTGTTCTGTTGCTTGATGTGTGCATTTAAAGACCAAAGCCAAAGTAGGGTTAAGTATAGAAGCAAAACAACAGAATGAAATGTAGAATGAGAATTAGTTTCTGACAAGAGAAAATATAAATGTCTTTATGTGTAATATACTCTCAGTGATTGAGATGTTCTTGCTAGGGTTGGATGAAGCTGGTTCCAACAATTTATCTGTTATAGTGAATTAAATAGAGCAGAGTTTAAAAGGTTATTTTGTCAAGTGCGTGAAAGAGTTGAAAATTCTGGTACAGAAGATCTTTCTAATTATTCTTAAGTATGCTAGACAGATACATGAAATGCTTCAGAAGGTTGAGCATTTATCTGAGTGCTGTACAAGATACAAAATTGCTTTGGCAAATTTATGCTATTTACAACATGCTGTTCCAGATTCCTCATTTCATATATGCAGTGCCCCTTAAAAGCGCTGCAAATGTCCAGTTATAGGTCCTATTCCTATCAACATCAATAAGAAAATTCTTCTTGATTGCCATGGGAGTGGGACCAGGCCTACAATGAACAGACCTGTTCAGTTATAAACTTCCAGTGCCAGTTGACTTGGGCAGCTGCACACAGCTCCCTGGGGCTGAGAAAGGAGAAGATGTACAGAGATATGAAACGTGGCAGCACTCTGGTGAAATCCACTTTGGTCACTGGAATCTTCTCTGCAAGCCAGTTTTGGGTAAACCTGTAAAGAGACAGATATTCACTGTAGTTAAAATCCTGTTGAGATTCTATTCTGTCACTCTATTGGTCTTCCCTTTCAGAAAACCTGAGATCTCTTTGAAGAATATTGTCAGGAGTGAAGTGATTCCTATGAGGGCATCATTTGCAAAGTGCTTTGGGACCCATTGGGAAGGGATTAAAGATGCATTTAAGTCTAATTAGTTGGCCATTTCTCTATTGATAGCGTCGCATCTCAGTGACATAATGCAACGTTTTGAGAGCAAATCTAGACTTTTATGTAAAGAGGAGCATTGCATTATTGCAACTAGTGAACTGTATGTCTTGCAAAACAAAACTATGCCAAGAGTGTGGTCATTTCAACAGAACCAATTATGTTTATTCCGGGCCCTTATATCACTGAGGTTGGTTTTATTGCTCTGCAGAAGACTGGAAAGAGTTGAACCTTTGTATTTGTAGTAGCCATTTTCTATTATTAGTAATCCAGTAGGTCAGGAGTTTGAGATGACTCAGGAAAGAAACTATTAGATAATATGCCTATTATCCTGGGCCTGTGTGAAAAACCTATAAATCAATCCAGATGTTTGGATGGGAAAGGATCCAAGGAAAGAGTTAAAGATCTCTCTCATTTTTAATAATCACAAGTGGCCAGGAAACAACTCTGCAAACCCTTACTCACACACAGACCAATAGAAGTCAGTGTATAAGGGATGTCATGATTAGGCCCTTATTTTATAAGAGCTGACTAATACCTGGTCTTGTCCTGTGAGATACAGAGCTCCCTCGCTCCCATTAGGAGCTAGTGGGAACTTTTTGTGTTCAGTACCTTGCAAAGTTGACTCTTTGGGACCTGATTCTGCAATATATAACGTGGAGCAGGCTGTTGTGCCCACAAGGAACCACACTGACTCCAGTGAGTCTCTGCACAAGCAAAGCAATCTGCCCACCCACCTTATAAACTGCAACATCCAGGTTCTAGATTGTGAGGTCTTTGGGCAAGGAACCTTGTTTGCTCCATGTTCTGCACAGCACTGACCACACGGACAGTGCTCACCCAATAATATATAATACTAGATGGAAAAGCTATAGAGGTTGTTTTTTTCTTATTTCCCTACTGATGCAATGAAAAGGGGAAAAGATGGAGAATCTGGAGCCTCAAGCCTGCACTAGACACACATCTATACACTCTCTCACACAATTTTGCTACCATCTTAATATTTAGGTCTTATGAATCTGACAGTGTCCTTATTAAACCAAACTGACGGGACCCTCTTACAAAAGAAAGATACAATTTCAGGTCCCAATCAGATCCATCTGGGCAGACACCTGCACTAGTGTTAAACCCTCAAGGACTTCACTGGGATTCCGCAAAGGTATAGGGATCCCCCGGGCAAATCTCATTACAGAATTGGTTTGCTGTGTCTCTTATGTGACATCCATATTCATACATACCTGCTTGTTTGGAAAGACGACACTAAGCTAGTCCTTGTAATAAACTTACTTCAGTTGTGATTTACTGCATCTCATCAACATTCTGTGGAGGAATTGTTTGCGCTGCTTGTCTGTCCACAGATTAAACCAATGGCTTATGAGACTAACTCTTTCCTCAAAGAGCTGAAAGGAAACAGAGTATTTCCATATCTAGTTCAGTATGATATGCAGACCTGTACAAGTCTGATGCACATATAATGATGCTTAGGGAGGCACTGTGACCCTAGCAGATAGAAATTAAACTTGGCAGGGGTGCTGGAACAATTTTTATAGTAGGGGTGCTGACAGCCATTGAACCAAACTGTAAACCCTGTATATGATGGAAAACCCTTCAAGCCAGTGGGTGTTGCAGCACCCTGCCCCCGAACCCGTAGTTCAAGCATCTATGAATTGGAGGCTTGTCTATATGACAAGTCACTGCAAGGCACGCCACAGTGTGACTCTACAGCTTGCACCACAGTCATGTCCTGCACAGATACTGTAACAAGAGATTTTGCTTTTTGCTGTTTTGAAAAACCTTGCAGCACTTTGATAGAGACCAGAAAAAGGGGTTTAAATATTGTAAAATTTCACGTCTTCCCCATTGATATAATTAAGGTGGTGATAGTATCAGGACACTTTGACTTGCATAAAAAAGCAGTTAGTTTTAAGATTAAGGCTTTAGATAAATAGATTACTATTACTACTGTAAATAGTGATAGTTTAAAGTTAGAAATCCAAAATAGTGGATGCAATAATCCTCTATGAAAAACAGGGTTAGGGTATGGAAAGTTCCAGCAACTAATAGGGAATGACTCAGCATTTCTCCCAAGACCTCAAGGGGAGGAGCTCTACCCAAGATGGTGTCAGAGAGAGGAGCTTAGCTATCTTAAAATAAGTATTACATAATGGGGAGGAACTAGACAAAAAATAGCAATTATGCTAATATCTGGAAGCTGATTGAGATGGGCTAATTAAGTTAATGAGCAGACCTTGAGACAGAGCAACCAGCATATAAGGCCCACAGCTAGCTGGCTGAGTGTAGTGGGTTTGAGGCTTTATAGAAGAATAGAAGCTACCTGAGAAGAACAGAAAATTCCAAAAAGTAGCCACCTGGGAAAGCAGCAGCAGCAGCAACTCTAAAGGTCACCACAGCAATGCCTGTCATAGCAACACAATCAGCAGTCCCTGCCAGCAGCAAAAGCCAGCAGCAACTGCTGCTACGCCCGCAGCCTGAAGCAGCAGCAGCAGTTAGGAAAATTGTGGCCTTGACAATCACCATCCTTAACATCATTACAGACGGATTAGAAGAACCATTAAGACGAACCAGAGGGAACTTGGGTACGAGTGCAAGTCTGATTTTTCCATGTATTGTTAAGGAGTGCATGGGTCTGTCTGTAAATAAAGCTGGATGCCTGTGTTCTGAGTGAAATCTCCCCTACCCATCAGGTGACCGCTTGTCCAGAGCTCACAGGATGTTAAAAGCTTAAATGTTAGATGTTAAATATTAAGGTATTAAATGTTAACTATTAAATGTTAATATTAAGTAAATAATTCTCTCTAAAACTAGAATATTGTAATGATTTATAGAGGTAATGTATATTATGTTGTATTAAGTATGTTACTGAATTGCAGCATTTAGGCTAGAGCCTTGATGTATATAGGGCCTCGTGTGTGTGTGTGTGTGTGTATAGATAGATAATCTATTACATTGTAACTGTTATATGATCTACATATCCTGTGTAGTCCGTGTCTATTTTGTTGTGCCGCTTCATTCCTAGATATAATTCTACTGTGTTTTAATATGTTTTATATATTCTTTCTTGCTTCTATTAAAAATACTGTAATTACTTATTTTTGAAAACATAAGAATTATTTATTTTTAAAAGCATTTCTGCTTGTGTGTGTCAGTCCTTGAGCGGAAGGCTGTACCTGTGTGCTTTCAGGAGTTAGTAAGATTAGCTTGCTCTAGGGAGCCCTCTGCAGGTCAGAGACAAGCCTCCTGATAACACACTGGCAATTCTTTTCAGGCAGGCCACAACCTTTTTACCCTTGTATTAAATTAAAAACGCTATTGTAGGCTAATTTAATTGGCATCTAAAATTTAGGGTAACAACACTGCTACAGTGCAGTGGAAGTCCTGGAGTACAGCTTTACTACGTTTTCAAGTAATAGTACGCCTAGCCACACTCTCTAGGACTTGCATTGTGCTGCAGCAGTGACCACACGGGCCATTACTGCCTGGTAAACTGTAGATTCACACCCTGGCTTTTCATGCAGTAACTTGCCATGTAGACAAGCCCTGGGACTCAGGAGACCTATATTCTTGTATTCCTACCACTTCTTCTGCCACTGACGAGCTTTGTGACCCTGGGCAAGTCACTTCATCCCTGTGCCTGTTTCACTTCCTATCCTTTGTTTAAGCTCTTCAAGGAAGAGACTGTCTCTTATTTAGTGTCTGAACTGTGCCTAGCCCAGTGGAGACCAGATCTCAGTTGGAGCCTCTGGGAACTAGCTACTGTAATACAAAAATGAGCAGTCCAAAGGGACAGATCATTACGGAGAAGCTTACTCGTTGTTCTTATCCCCGTGATGTATGGTTAAACTGTCTACCTATTTTAGGTACAGTAACTCCTCACTTAAAGTCGTCCCAGTTAACATTGTTTTGTTATTAGGTTGCTGATCTATTAGAGAACATACGCGTTTAAAGTTGCGCAATGTTCCTTTTTAAGGTTGTTTGGCTCGCTCCGCTCCGACCTGACCCCTCTCTCCGGCAGGAGCGCCGGGTGGGTGGAACGGGGCAAGCCCCCGCGCCCCAACCCCGCTCTCTGGCAGGAGTGCCAGGTGGGTGGAGTGAGGCAAGCTCCTGTGCCCCGACCCCACTACGCCCCTGCCTCAACCAAGCTTCACAATCATCATGGGTGAGTGCAGTATTACATTGTTTAAAAATATTTAAAACTTATACTGTATATGTATGTAACGTCTTTTGTCTGGCAAAAAAAATTTCCCTGGAACCTAACCCCCCTTATTTACATTATTTCTTATGGGGAAATTGGATTCACTTAACATCGTTTCGCTTAAAGTAGCATTTTTCAGGAACATAACTACAACGTTAAGCAAGGAGTTACTGCATTTTTAGAACAGCAATCACTGCAATGCCAAGGACTGGTGTATTTCTCTAACGGTCCTTGAAAGTGATATTTTGACAGAGGGCAGACATCCATTTTTGTTCTCCTTGGCCCTGGGTTCTATGGGAATGACACTCTCCCTTAGTTCAAAACCCCTGTACAAGAAGGACATCAAACTTAGTTGTTCTCTGAGGATAGAGTCCACTTCCTCTCACTCTCTCTACTCCAATTGCTGCTCAGCAAAGGTCTTTTATTCTTTTACACTTTCCTCTGCAGGTAAAATGAGCAATTTCTGAGTATATAGGCCTAGTGCCAGGCCACAGCAATTGATGTGGGATGAGGCTTTTGGGAATGTAGTCCCATTTAGTTAAGAGCAGTATCTGATTTGATTAAAGGAAAAAAAATTGTTTATAAAACATTGAACCAATATATAAATCTGTAATTTAAAAAAAATTTAAGACATGTAATGCCATTATATCTGACTACAGTTATAGAGCCAATCATGTGCTTGCTAATGGCCATAGTTCTTATTGCTATGAATAGTCCTTGATCCTCACAGGCGTAATTGCTGTCAGACATCATGGCAGTAAATACTTTGCCTTGAGGAAGCAGTTTATTGTTTTTAGTATTGTAGTAGCTCCTAGAAGCCATGGCCCTACTGTGCCAGTAACAGTACAGAGATATAATAGACAGCCCCTGCCCCATTTCTGTTAAATAACCAAAGAAAATAAAGGTGCGGCAGTTAAAAGACGAGGAGATGTTGATGTAATGTTTTTAAAATGTGAGGTTGGTTTCTGATCTAATTTACATGAGCATGCATCAGTGCATATATTGTACGATGTTTCCTTGTCATTGCATGTGCAAGTGGGGGTTGGCGGTGTTTCAAGATATGTGGCAATGTACACCAATGCATTTCATGATAGTTGAGCCTATGAAAATGACTTCTACCAGACTGTAACTTACCTGCTTATTGAATGATTTGTTTGCGATAGGTGTCCAAGTGCTGAACCTTGTGTTCAAGCTCCCAGTAGTCTGGATTTTACTGGAAGACACTCTGATGGACTTCACTGTGTTTTCTGCAAGGAGTCCTAAACACTCTAGTTGCCATTGTTTAACAGTGTGGGGACTAGGTGTTACGTAAGCTGTGGTCATCATTGCATCAGTAATACTTGGTTACACCAGCTTTGTTAGAGCCACCTAGAAATTCAGTGAATTAAAGAGATATGTGAAGTGATCTAATTAATTCTTAGTAGAGATGGGTGCAAACTGTAGAATTCAAACTTGGATTCAGATCTGAAGCCCACTCCCAACTCCCACTATGCTCAGTGGGGCAGTTAGATCCAGAAGCCTGAATCCAGGCCCATTTTATATATTGTTTGTGTCTTAAAAATACTTTGCTGTCAATCTTATATCTTGCAATCTTACCTATGTTTAGATGAGGCAGCTGGGTAAAGGGCATCAGTGTGTACATAAGCAGGCCAATGCTTGAGCTGTGATTTCATCAGATCACATAACTGAGATTGGGACTGGTCAGTAAGAACCTAGATGGGAGACTTCCCAAGAAACCCAAGCTACCGAAGGAAGTTCTGTTGCCTCAATAGGTGGCAATCTGTCCTCTGTCATATGAACCAATGATCTGGTGTGACTCTTATGGCTCCTATTCTTGTGTGGATGCCTTCTTCTAGTCATTACAAATTCCCTGGGG